CTATCAAAAACATTAGAAATAAGAAGCTGACACAACTACAGCAGAGGATCAGGACATCATTTAGTTTTTTTTTCTTTTAAGATTTAGAGATTAAAGTTGTAAATTTAGGAGAATGAAGTCATAAGGTATAGAAAGTCATAAAGCTGCTTTTGTGGAGGGGGAAATGACTGAAGCTGGTCATCTGCAGGGTTATCTGTAGATGTAAGAAACAATCAAACTGATGATGATCAACATTTGTGATCCAGAGGGAGTCGAGCTCCGACGAGCACCACGTCTCTGACACTGGCAGTAACCTACGACTGCAGAGACACCAACACCTTATTACGGCATATGGATTCATATCATAAACTAAAGCTCAATGTCATTCAGGGAAATTTATGGCTGCATTGACAGATATATCCTCAGCATATTCATTTCTGCCTCCACAATAGCAGCGATTTCCTTTAAGTACACCAGTTTTTTTTCCCTGTGGAAAAGACGTATTTCTCAGATATTCTTTATATTTTATGACAATGTGATGCTGATGTGCCAGAGGATGAAGTACCTCCTTGTTTGTGAAACCTATACTGAAGCAAAGTTCCTTCAAATGCTTCATGGCCCTAATTTTGACAAGTCTCCTCTGAAATAACAGGGAACCTTATGACTTTATTCTCATAAATAAATGACTTTATTTTCGTAAATTCACGACTTAAATCTCGAAGTCTTTAAAGAAAATTCTCAATATGGCCCTCATACTCCTTCATACAAAACAATCATTGGATTAATTTTGTGGGAATGAATTGTGCTTGTATGTATCTACTATTTTGTGGTCGCACAATTAAAACAATACATGCTGCGCTCCGCAGCTTTTTTTCTAGTCAGTCGTGACGTAAGCCTGACGGCGGGGACATTTGGAGACCTTCGGAGGACTTCCTGGTGGAGTCGCCAAATGTCCCCGCCCTCAGGCTCGCGTCACGACTGACTTAAAGAAAACCCGCGGAGCGCAGCATTTATTTTTTAATTGTGCGACCTTGCACAGACACAAAATAGTATATACATACAAGCACAATTCATCCAATGATTGTTTTGTATGAAGGAGTATGAGGGCCATATTGAGATTTAAGACTTTAAAGATTTCGAGATTTAAGTCGTGAATTTACAAGAATAAAGTAATTTATGAGAATAAAGTTTTAAAGTTCCCTGTTATTTCAGAGGAGACTTGTTGAAATTAGGGCCATGAAGCATTTGAAGGAACTGTGCTTCAGTATAGATTTCAAAAACAAGGAGATACTTCATCCTTTGGCACATAAGCATCACATTGTCATAAGTATAAAGACTTAGAAAAAGAATATATGAGAAATACGTCTTTTCCACGGGGAAAAAAACTGGTGTACTTGAAGGAAATCGCTGCTTTTGTGGAGGCAGAAATGAATATGCTGAGGATATATCTGTCAATGCTGCCGTAGATATCAGTGAATGACATTAAGCTTTAATTTATGATATGAATCCATATGCCATAATAAGGTGTTGGTGTCTCTGCAGGTGTAGGCTAACGCCGGTGTCAGAGACGTGGTGCTCGTCTGAGCTCGACTCCCTCTGGATCGCAAATGTTGATCATCATCAGTTTGACTATTTCTTCAGAAACCACAAAATCTCTCTGAAAGACCCGCTGATACATCCACAGATAACCCTGCAGATGACCAGCTTCAGTCATTTCCCCCTCCACAAAAGCAGTTTGATGACTTTATATACTTTATGACTTTATTCTCCTAAATTTACAAATTTAATCTCTAAATCTTAAAAAAAAACAAAAAAAAACAATGTTGTCCTGATCCTTTGCTGTAGTTTTGTCAGCTTTCTTATTTCTAATGTTTTTGATAGTTGAAGCAGAGCAGATCAGTTGTCTCTAAAACTATAATGTTTGATTTGCAGATTTTAGTGAGTTCAGAGATCATGCTCTCATACAGCCTGAGCTGACTGTGCTGTTTTTGGGTTTCTTGTATTTTCTTTGAAGACGCGCTGCGCCTCCAAGCAAGTCCATCCTCTCACCTGAAATGCAAAGCTGTGCAGCGGCACGCAAAGAATTCTGGGATACCAACGGCACGAAAGCGTGCATACATGCACGCTTGAAAAAGGGGCGGGGGTAGTGTGGTTTTGAGACCGAATTTGAAGCGCGCTTAGTATTTTGTGCCAAACGGGACACCGTTCGTGCCGCGTGATGACCTCACGCACGCTTCAGATGCGCCGTTCGACGGTTGCGGTCTCTGAAGTGGGACACAGGAAGGGTACATAACGGCGCAAAACGGCACATAACGGCCAAAAACGGTGTGGTATCTGGAGTACTACATCAATATGCATTGCCTTAAGGTATTTTTCAGGAATAGCCTGAGGACCAATTGTGGAATGTGAGTTTGTGTTTTCCTTGTTTATCATTAATGACACCTGGGGTGAAATATCCGGGAAGTGGCACTGCACAGGTCACAGGTCACAGGTCACAGACCACCACTCTAGTTTACTCAAACACCAGAGGGTAAGGAAAATATCCCAAAAACAAAGAAAGGATGTAGGAGGGCCTACAGCCCTAACCGTATATAACAGGGTCATAAACTCTGGTTTGGGAGAGCTGGACATCATTGGCAGTCCTCTCCCAGCAACTGCAGTGCTGTATTGATACTGGTTTTGTCTTTATAATAAACTCCTCTTATACAAGCAAGCCAGTGTCACGAAGCCTCCTTCTGCATCTACACATCGAGGACAGCCCAGACACAACAAATTGGCGTCACGAACAGGATCAGCTACGGCCTTCAGAGGATCACTGCAGCTTCAGCGCATCTATTCCTGCACCACATTGGCGCCAGGTGAGTGTTTGACTCACATAAAGTGCTGCTGGTTTAGTTGTTGGAGCTGTTGTGTTCAGCTGTTAGGCTGTACTGTGTAAAAGTACTTGTGTGGAAATGCTGTGATGTGCTGTTGAAGAGAGGCTTCGTCTAAATTTGGGTAGAATAGAAAAGAAAAGAAGTTGTAGAGAAGATGTTAAAATAGACGAAAAAGAGATGCCAAAAATAGAATAGCAGAGACTAATGGGAGTGTGCTAAATAACCTTGCAAGATTAACGAAGAGGGGCCCATATCTTCTTAACGGTAAGACAATGTGTAAATTAGTGACTTATGTGAACGTCTAGCTCAAAAAGGATAGTCAAATTCGGGGCGTGGAAAGAAAAAGTGAGGAGTAAAACCCGGAGCCCAGGGTAATTGGCAAATAAATGATAAAAAGAGATAAAGGGTGAAAAGAGAAACAGGCTGAGATAGCCTAGGCTGAGATGGCCGAAAAAGAGAAACAGGCTGAGATAGCCTAGGCTGAGATGGCCGAAAAAGAGAAACAGGCTGGGATAGCCAGGGCTGAGATGGCCGAAAAAGAGAAAAAGTTAACTTAATGTTAGGGAAGTCGTGATTGGGCATAACAAACCGGTAAGGACAGTTTAAAGAAAAAAAAATTAAGTTAACATAAAGTTAGGGAAGTCGTGATTGGGCATACAAACCGGTAAGGACAGTTTAAAGAAGAAAAAAGGCCTATAAACTATAGTAAGGAAACATTGAGCTCTGTGAGGAGAGGTGTGTTGGAATTTCCGTGTGTGAGAGAAGCTTCTGGTGTGTGTGTGAGAGGAGTGTGTGTATGAGTGCTGAGCTGTGAGTGTGAGTGCAAAAGAGTCTGTGTGCAGTGAGTGGCATGTGCACAAAGTTGGGGAAGTGTCTAGCATAAATATAAGTGATTAACTCATGATAAAGTGATAAATGATGTCTTATTAAATATATAATAATATGATATAAGAAATTAGCATATAAGGGAAGAGATACTGTTGCCTTTGCAGTGTTAAAAAACATATGAGCCCTGGTTTCCTTTGTACAGGGACATTAATAGAACAAGTAACTGCTATGAGCCTCTCAGGATAAAGAGGACGTTAGTACACCTAATAATAAGAAATGAGCCCCTTATTAGATGAGGAGGACTTTGGATGGTGATAACATCCTTAACTAATATTGCAATTAAAGAAGTGTAAAAACCAGCAAGCACATTTGTGTTCATACAGATACAGGAAAAAAACAGAGTAAAAGATAGGAGCGATTTGCTAACTGATGGGTGTTGTTTTCCGCTCTGTGTGTGTGTGAATATTTAAAGTGAAGGGTCACTTGCTGATGATTATGTTTAGAGGGAAGTCCTAGTTAAAAATTAGGAGAATCCAGGGAGCTTTTCCTCCCCCTTTCTTTCTCTTCTTACAGGCCTGAGAACAGAAAGAAAGCTAAAAAATCCAGTTTAACTATTTTAGATGTGTGAAAATTTTAAATGGTATACCATGGTAAAGGGGAATGATGTATAATAAATTTAGGTAGTCTGATAGTAGAAGAAATCTTTAAATAATGGTAGTAAACATTTTAAATTGTATTGAATGAAGGGATTGTGATATACTAAACATTTGATTTGTGCTTGTCCCTTTCTCTGATGCATGAGAGGGGAGAGAAGAATGAAAGGCATCTGACGTTGGAGCACCCATAAAACAGATAAGGAGATAATTGGCTGTGCTGCAAACAAGAGGGGGCTTGCGGATGAGAGGCTCACCAGGACCTGCTCCCATTTGACAGGCCAGTACAGTTTTATCTACAAACTCTTCTCCGATGCATCTGCTGCTACTTAGTTGTACATACACACATTTATAGTGGGAACACAGGTAGTTGGGTGTATACATTTGGTAATGATAGACAATAAGAGCAGTAGTTTTGTTGGTAAAAAGGAAGGCTTGGCAACAGACTGACCAGTTTAAAGGGCTAATTAAGTACTGTAGTATTGTTGAATTAAAAGAGCATTTCCAAGAGGTCTAAAATTTTGCTACAGCGTGTGGATGTGATTTGTCATTGCTGCTTGATAAAATCACACAAATTGATCCTTTTTGGGGGTTGATAAGTTTTAAGTCTCTGGGGCTGGCAGATTTCTTTGGCTTGTCTTGTTTTAAGGTAAATTAGCTAAACGGCGCTGTGAATAACGTGTTTGGTCATCTGTTGGTGCCTTGGGTTCCTATGAAGACATTTAAAGGTGTGAAAGCTATCACTCCAGTTGATGTAGTAATGAAGAGCAATCCACTTGTTATGGGTATTGAAAAAATGTCTAAGAAATGGAGTAAGAGGTGGCCTGACATTGACCAGCCTTGGCCAGTGGAAGGTACCCTTAATCCTGAAGTGGTTAAAACAATGCACGTGCTAGTGTCCACCTATAAGGCAGAGCAAAAGAAAGGAAAGAAGGGAAAGAAACGGCAAGAAAAGAGACAGAGGGAGCTTAACATTTTGCACTTGTTTGAGCAGGAGGGGCAGAAGATGCTAAAAGCCGAGAAGGAAAGAAAGGACAGGATTGTAGAAGAAATAAACAAAAATGTTAAATCAACAGAAAAATTGATGGCAGAAGTGAACAAACCTTTCTCACACACGACCCCAGTGAAGAGCCCCCCACCGTATGAGAAAGAGATTCGGTACACTGATGTCTATCCTCAGCTCCCCGTAATTAAACAGGAGGGCGTGTATCACATCAAAGACGAGGAGAAGCAGATGATAGAGACAGGAACAGCTAGAACAACTATAAAAATGTACCCAAGCAGGAAGAGTAAAACGAATACAGGTCATCCAGCAGCTAGTGGTGAACAAAAATACAGAAAAATAGAAATGGGAGATGATAGTCAGAGTGATTCAGAAGAGGCTATTGGAGGATACGACCCAGCAGTTAGAAACATATTAGCCAGAGCAGAGAAAAGAGGAGGAAAATCACTGAGGAAAAAAGAGCCAGCAAAAGACACCTCAGAGGAGAGTGAAGATAATGATAGGGATGAAGAATCAGACAGTGAAGAGTCTTCATATTCCCTTTGGTCAACTCCAAGGACTGAAGCTGAGGAGAGGCACAAGGCTTTGAGAAGGATTGAGAGACGCATCGATAAATGCTATGGCAACCTAAGTAGGGCTACGAGTCCTGAAAAACATAGAGAATTGAGGGAAGAATTAGAAGAGCTACAAATAATAAAGAATGACCTGAAGAAAAAAGGAAGTGAAAAGCCATCCACTTCAGGGTATTCCTTACGCCCAAGAAAAGGGGATAAGCCAGCTGGGAAAATGTGTCCAGTTATTGTTCGGGGACAGAATTTGGAGTACAAGCCTCTGCAAAATACAGACATGTCAGACATTCTTGAAAAGTTACCTACTCTTCAGGAAGGAGCTCACCCTTGGATTTCCAAGCTAGAGGAAATTATGGTGGGATGGCAGCCTGCTATGGGAGACATCAAGAGACTCCTAGCCAGCATTTTAGGGGTCCCAGCTATGGAAGAGATCTTGCAGAGAGCAGGGCTTAACCGGTATGCAGGGACTGCGGTAAATGACCCAGAACTGTTTGCTGCATGCAGAGCTCGGATGTGGAGATCACTGAGAGATGTATTTCCAACAAATGTACATCCAGATAACATTATAATTGAACCACTAGGACCACAAGAGAATCCAAGAGCCTATGTATCAAAAGCTCATCAAATTTGGAGAAATATTACTGGAAACGATCCAGATATGCACCAAATGGAGCAGTCTATTTTGCGAGCCAAAATACAAAAAGGGTTGCCCCAGCCAGTGAGAAATAAATTAGAAGAGGTGGTTGGTCTTGGTAGTATGACAAAAGGGATATACACAGACCATATAGCACATCAAGTGGAGTTGTACAGGAAGAAAGAGAACAAGCAGAGAGAGCATGATCAAGAGATCCTGAGACAACTTAACCATATACATTTGGGAGATAGCAAAAACAAGGAGAAGAAACAAGCTGTGGTTATGCAGAGTCAATCTCAATCAGAGCAGGCAAAAATGCAACTGCAACAGGAACATATGCAGGACCGACCACCCCAGCTGACGCCAGTAGCTCCTTTAGGTTCATATGCACAACCAGCCTTTAGTCAGTGGCAGACATGGAGTGGAAGCGGTGAAGACAGAAACTTCAACCCAAACTTCCAGGCATTTTCAGAAGCATGTTATAGGTGTGGACAACTAGGTCATTATGCACTTGACTGTTATTGAGTGGAAGAAAGCTCTATCACAGAATGAGTGAAGGGAGAAAGTAAGAAAGTTTTTGGTAAGTAAGTAAAAAATGGTTCTTGTCAAGGACATTGATTATTTGGGGAAAAGAACGATTCAGGAGGCCAGGGTTAGCAATGATGCAAGGGGGGAAGTTACAAGAAACATCATAAAGGAATAGGTTTTTGGACACCACAAATTTTTGATTATGTCATAAGTAGATGTACAATGTGTCTAAAAAGTAATGTTCGAAGGTGTAACAGTTGAAGCTTGTCTAACCAAGCAGAAAGATGCTCAGTATGTTGCCAAGTTCTTGTCTAAAGAGGTCATAAGCAGATGGGGACTTTTAGATTAAATATTCGAAGATAATGGAGAAGAGTGTGTGGATAAAACAGTGAAATTGATTTGAAAAACTAAGAATTGAACACTGTTTAAGAGCTCTGTACCATCCGCAAAGCCAAGGTATCTGTGAAAAAACAAAAAAAATGAATGGGGTGATGAGAAACCCTATGGGTAAGATTGGCCAACACACAGGTTTACATTTTGATGATGTAAAGGGGAGGTATTACTTAGGGGGAAATAGGATAAACATGTCAAAACAAAAATGTGTGTTTTCTGGCAAGGTACTGCTTAATTTTTTCATCCCCAGGACAGCAGTTGGGGAGACCAGCTAAAGAAAGGTGGTTCTCCAGACATCTAAACAGCCTAATGGACCCACACCTCCCAACAAGACAACCAAACATGGACAATGTAAACACAACTGAAACCTGACAGAGGATGTGAACAAGGACATTGCATTGGATACACAAACGGAGAACACCCATGGACAAGAACACTACACAAGCAGCCAAAGATGTTAAGGAGCAAAAATTATTATTCATTTTAATCATAGAGTTGTTAATGTATAATCTGGGATTGAATGTCAATTTATCTCTCTGTGTTGTATTTTAATGGTCATGCAAATACCAAACAGCATAGGAAGAATGGAAAGTATGAAAGGGGGGTTTAGTTATTCATAGCCTAAGTTGTAAAATGAATGTATTGGGATCTCAGTTGTTTTCTTTGTTTTCTCGGTTTAGGATCAGTGGTGTTAGGCAGGGATAGGTCCCCAGAAGGTCCGATGGGAAGACCAGCTTGACTGTGGATTTTTTAATTTTATTTCTGAGATTCCCAAGAATATTTGAGCCAAACATTATTTCCACATAAAGTCTAACCCTTAACTTTCAATTGGATTGGAGTACAATAGGTGGTCGCCTAGGGCAGAGGGACCGTGAGTGACTTTTTCCTGTCTAGATTGTCTGATGGATACTAATGGAACATAGCTGCCTGACAGGTTTTTGCCCTCACACTCCAAAATTTTAGCAATAAATAGAAATTGTAAACATTTCTTCGCCTTTTTCGAGACTCTTTGGAGTCTCGAAGGGGGGAAATATGTGGTATCTGGAGTACTACATCAATATGCATTGCCTTAAGGTATTTTTCAGGAATAGCCTGAGGACCAATTGTGGAATGTGAGTTTGTGTTTTCCTTGTTTATCATTAATGACACCTGGGGTGAAATATCCGGGAAGTGGCACTGCACAGGTCACAGGTCACAGGTCACAGGTCACCACTCTAGTTTACTCAAACACCAGAGGGTAAGGAAAATATCCCAAAAACAAAGAAAGGATGTAGGAGGGCCTACAGCCCTAACCGTATATAACAGGGTCATAAACTCTGGTTTGGGAGAGCTGGACATCATTGGCAGTCCTCTCCCAGCAACTGCAGTGCTGTATTGATACTGGTTTTGTCTTTATAATAAACTCCTCTTATACAAGCAAGCCAGTGTCACGAAGCCTCCTTCTGCATCTACACATCGAGGACAGCCCAGACACAACAACGGCAGTGCACTCAGCTAAGCGCCGTTAAGCGCGTGTATCCCGATGCGGTTTCTGAAATGAGACACAGCCTCATTAGGTTAGGGTTAGGGGTCAGGGCTAGGGTTAGAGAGGTTAGGGTCAGGGCTAGGGTTAGGGTTAGGGTTAGATGGTTAGGGTTAAGTCTGATCACAAGGGTTAGGGTTAGATACCTAGTTAGGCGTTTGTTTAGGGCTAGGGGTTAGTGGTTAGGGGTTGGTGGTTAGGGGGGTTAGGGTTAAGGTTAGGGGTTAGGGTGAGGGGGGTTAGGGTTAGGGTTAGGGTTATGGTTAGGGGTAGGGTAAGGGTTAGGGGTTAGGGGTAGGGTTGGGGGTTAGAGGTTAGGGTTAGGGTTAGGGCTAGTTGTTATGTTTATAGTTTGTTTTGGCGAGATTGAAGTTAAGTGAACTAGTGTTCCAGCATGCAGTTGATATGTTTATCTGTTGAACTGGTTACCCCTTGTGTTAAGCTGTTGTTTATGTGTTGTTTTGATGTGTTGGCTTGTTGTTATGATCATTGTTTGTTTAGGCAAGATTGAAGGTTTTTGAGCATGTGTTTTGGCACGCATCTGTTTAGTTGGTTACCCCTTGTGATTAGCCGTTGTTTAAGTGTTGTTTTGATGTGTTGGCTTGTTGTTATGATCAAAGTTTGTTTTGGCGAGATTGAAGGTTTGTGAGCATGTGTTATGGCATGCATCTGTTGAACTGGTTATCCCTTGTGTTTAGCTGTTGTTTAACTGTTGTTTTGATTGTTGGCTTGTTGTTATGATCATAGTTTGTTTTGGCGAGATTGAGGTTCAGTGAGCTAGTGTTATGGCATGCATCTATTGAGTTGGTTCCCCCTTGTGTTTAGCTGTTGTTTTAGTGTTGTTTTGATTTGTTGGCTTGTTGTTATGATCATAGTTTTTTTGCGAGATTGAAATTAATGAGCATGTGTTATCACATGCAGTTGATATGTTTATCTGTTGAACTGGTTACCCCTTGTTTTTAGCCGTTGTTTAAGTGTTCTTTTTGTGTGTTGGCTTGTTGTTATGATCAACCTAGTTTGTTTTGGCGAGTTTGAAGGTTTGTGAGCATGTGTTATGGCATGCATCTGCTGAGTTGTTTACCTCTTGTGTTTAGCTGTTGTTTAAATGTTCTTTTGATGTGTTGGATTGTTGTTATGATCATAGTTTGTTTTGGCGAGATTGAAGGTTTGTGAGCATGTGTTATGGCATGCATCTGTTGAGTTGGTTACCCCTTCTGTGTAGCTGTTATTTAAAAGTTGTTTTGATGTGTTGACTTGTTATGATCATAGTTTGTTTTGGCGAGATTGAAGTTAAGTGAGCTAGTTTTCCTGCATGCAGTTGATGGGCTCTATTTTCGTGCGCGCTGGTGAGGCGGCGGAGGGCGGCGAGCCCCGCGCAGTTGTATTTTCGTCTGGCGGAGCCTGGCGTAAGTCCAGTTTGGTATTTTCGTAGACTGAGCCTCACGGAGGCGAGCCGAGATCCGCCAAGCTGGGCGTGGTGGCGTGGCAGGGGGAGGTGTCGACAGAATCAGCAGGCGCAGTGACATTTTCATGCTCGCCACCGGCGTGTAAAGTGCGCTGAAAGCTCGCCGATTCAAACCTGGTCAGCTTTCAGCGCATGGCGGAGCGCAGCTGGTCTAGTAGTATTTTGGTAGACCGGCGGCGTATCGACATACGTCACTGATGCCCCACCGGCAGATTTCCACAGTGTCAGGCACATTTCAGTGCAATAAATAATCATCATCAACTATTAATCTGAGTCAGCACATACATTTAGATCTATATTGATATATACTGATCTATATGTGATCTGATGAGTGCGTTTGGCACGCGTTTGGACACACAACCTGACCGAATCAACACAGCTGAAACCGCATCAAATTAAATTAAATATCTAGTAAATAAACACACATGATGAAGTTAACAAGATATGTAATTTGTCTCCCTTCTTTTCTATCTTCCTCTTCCTCTTATTTCTCGCACAGCTGGACCTGGACACGTCTCCGTGTCCTCTGTCCTTCTTGCTGCTGCTGCGGCTGAACAGATGATTTGTTTCAGTGCTCAGATGTGTTATCTACTTTAAGCCTACATGCGGATATTATAATATTCAGTTTTGTGAGGCAAATTTATTTTATATGCCAACATCTATGAAAGAAAGAGCCAGGTCACGGAGCGCGATGCGTCATTTACGCACAGATGGTTCCATTTTTAATGCCATTTTTGGAGTTTATGTTGTGATCTGTGCGCTCAACCCACCTTTGTCACGTGAGGTTTGAATATATGCAACTTTATGTGAGTGTCTTTATTTGTGGAAAAGGGTGTTTGTCTTACCAGTGGGTCCAACAACACACACACCAAATCCATCTGTGCTCATATGAGAGAGTGTGGAGGACACTTGTTGAGGAGCTGCCCTCTGTCGTCATCTTGTGGCATTACTGTCTTAAGACATCTCTTGATCTCTTTGACTACTTCATGAAAATAGTAATACGCCTCGCCTGTGGCGGATTTAAAGGCAAGGAGAGGAGCTTATGTGATTGGTGAAAACAGGTCTCGGCTGTGTTAAACCCACTCCACGCCCTTTCTCCTCCCCGTCTACGACATATGCTGCTGGGAGGAGCTGAGTTAGGGAGGGGGGATACTTACGCCGGGCTGTGCGGCTCACCAAAATACCAAAATGTGCTTGGGAACGCCTTGTCAGCGCGGCGGATCTGACTGACGCTGCACTTGCGGCACGTCTCCGGCGAGGCACCAAAATAGAGCCCGATATGTTTATCTGTTGAACTGGTTACCCCTTGTGTTAAGCTGTTGTTTTTGTTCGTTTAGGCAAGATTGAAGGTTTGTGAGCATGTGTTTTGGCATGCATCTGTTGAGTTGGTTACCCCTTGTGATTAGCTGTTGTTTAAGTGTTGTTTTGATGTGTTGGCTTGTTGTTATGATCATAGTTTGTTTTGGCGAGATTGAAGTTAAGTGAGTCATTTTTGTGTATTTTTGTACCATAGCAGTGGCGTTATGTTTTGAATGGACTCTCAAAGGCTTAAAAAATTGTTTTTTGGATAAAAAATGTACTATTATTGATCAGGGCAGAAATTAATTGAGAGATGTGTGGAAAAAAATCTGGGAAAAATATGAATCCAATATGTTTTTACAGCAGTCGATGTAAGTGGCTTTTTTTAGCAACTGAGCGTTAACAAAGAATATTTTTTGGAAATCTGATCCTACAAAAAAAACTTCAAAGGCATCAAAGTCAATGATATTACTAATCCTTTACAAATTCAAGACTATAAAACCCTGCAAGAGATATCCAGTTTCAGGTTACGTTTTCTAATAAAAATCAGTCTCTCTTCTTAAGATGGTCTTATTTTCATGATACCACTTATAACAATAGGTCAATGAACTGACAGGTCATCATAACAACAGGTCACCATAACATTCAACACCATCCAACCAATCATACTCAAAGACAAGCCCACAGAGATGGGCGTGGATCCTACCTGTGTTTCCTGGATCACAAATTGCCTGACAGGAATCACACAGTTCTTCACGCTGGGGAACTGTGTTTCTGGGCCTTATTGGGAAGTACAGGGGTTCCACAACGGACGGTCCTGGCTCCATTCCTATTGACAGGGTATACACCAGACTTCAAATACAGCACTGTGTCCTGAAATTTTTGTAGAGGGCGCTATGACCACATTTTTATGGAAATCCATTTTGACAGTGGAAAACTTTTTGTTTAACTTTGAGTCCAACGTAGGTGTCATTGAATCCCTCGGTTTAGGTCAAACACAGGAGCTGAACTTACATTTTGAAATTTTGTAGAGGGAGAAATTAAGGAATTTTTTGATGGGTGCCCAATTTTTACATTGGCACCCATTTCTTTTCCTCTTGGGGTTCAAGACAAGTGTCATTGAATCCACTTGTCTGGACCACAGGAGCGGGGTTTAAGTTTTGAAATTTTGAAGGGGGCGCTATGGGGCCTTTTTATGATGGATATCCATTATGACAGTTAAACCCTTTTTGTTCATCTTGAGGTCAAACATAAGTGTCATCAATTTCATAGGTTTAGGTCAAACACAGGAGCGTGGTTCACATTGAAGAAATTTGAAGGTGGCGCCATAGAGCCAATGTTTTGATGGATCTCCATTTTGATATTTAAACTGTTTTTGTTCGTGTAAAGGTTCAACTTCAGTGTCACTAATTCCACAGGTTTTGGACACGCACCAGAGCAGGGCTTTCATTTAGAAATGTTGTAGAGAACGCAGTTGTGCCATTTTCAGTTGGATCCAAGATAAGTGTCTGTTAGTCCATTTGTCTGAGTCACTCAAAGGAGCAGGGGTTTCATTTTGAAATTATGAAGGGGGTGCTATGTAGCTATTTCTTAAAGAGACTACATTTTTGACATTGAACCCATTTTTCTTTGTCTTGAGGTCAAACATAAGTGACATCAATTCCAAAGGTTTTGGTCAAACACAGGAGTTGGGCTTACTTTTTTTTTTTTAAATTTGAAGGTGGCACTCTGGAGCTATTTGAAGTTGATTCTCCATTTTGATGCTGGAGCCCTGTATGTTCAACTTTCGGTTTGTCATAATTGTTCTTTATTTCAAAAGTTTGGTTCGTACACAGAAAAAGGGCTTTTATTTTTCAATTGGGCAGGGGGCAATATGTGACCATTGATGGTTGGTTCTCCATCTTGACATTTTCTTCATCACAGGGTGATGAGACTCATTTGTAATAATGGAAAAACAGCACCATCTAGTGGTGTGCTTCAGTGACTTCCCCACATAAAAATGTAGAAAATATTACAGAGCTGAAGCTAAAATACTTGGATGAAGGTAAAAATAAAAAAGAATTGCTAAAATTGTATGTCTTCTGTGAATTACAAGAAAAAATTAACAGTCGAGGTGCTTCGGATAGACAAATGCCTAAAAATGTATGTATTACAACCTCCCCGTGGAATGTGGAAGTACTCAAAAGAAGTTTACAGTCAGAATGTAACCATAGTAATTTTTGATTATGGTATGACAGCACCATCTAGTGGGGTGTACTTTTCACCTTTCTACCATTTATACTTTTTGCAATATTTCACTTTTTCCTGTACAATTAGAAGTGATCATGAGAGTGCCAGTTGTTTTTTGTTAATCTGATCCTACAAAAAAAACTTAAATGGTTTCAAAGTCAATGATATTACGAATCCTTTACATATTCAAGACTATAAAACCCTGCAAGAGATATCCAGTTTCAGGTTATGTTTTCTAATAAAAATCAGTCTCTCTTCTTAAGATGGTCTTATTTTTTTATGATACCACTTATAACAATAGGTCAGTGAACTGACAGGTCATCAAAACAACAGGTCACCATAACATTCAACACCATCCAACCGATCATACTCAAAGACAAGCCCACAGAGATGGGCGTGGATCCTACCTGTGTTTCCTGGATCACAAATTGCCTGACAGGAATCACACAGTTCTTCACGCTGGGGAACTGTGTTTCTGGGCCTTATTGAGAAGTACAGGGGTTCCACAACGGACGGTCCTGGCTCCATTCCTATTGACAGGGTATACACCAGACTTCAAATACAGCACTGAGTCCTGAAATTTTTGTAGAGGGCGCTATGACCACATTTTTGTTGGAAATCCATTTTGACAGTGGAAAACTTTTTGTTTAACTTTGAGTCCAACGTAGGTGTCATTGAATCCCTCGGTTTAGGTCAAACACAGGAGCTGAACTTACATTTTGAAATTTTGTAGAGAGAGAAATGAAGGAATTTTCTGATGGGTCCCCAATTTTTACATTGGCAACCATTTCTTTTCCTCTTGGGGTTCAAGATAAGTGTCATTGAATCCACTTGTCTGGACCGCAGGAGCGGGTTTACGTTTTGAAATTTTGAAGGGGGCGCTATGGGGCCTTTTTATGATGGATATCCATTATGACAGTTAAACCCTTTTTGTTCATCTTGAGGTCAAACATAAGTGTCATCAATTTCATAGGTTTCGGTCAAACACAGGAGCGTGGTTCACACTGAAGAAATTTGAAGGTGGCGCCATAGAGCCATGTTTTGATGGATCTCCATTTTGATATTCAAACTGTTTTTGTTCGTGTTAAGGTTCAACTTCAGTGTCACTAATTCCACAGGTTTTGGACGCGCACCAGAGCAGGGCTTTCATTTAGAAATGTTGTAGAGAACGCAGTCGTGCCATTTTCAGTTGGATCCAAGATAAGTGTCTGTTAGTCCATTTGTCTGAGTCACTCAAAGAAGCAGGGGTTTCATTTTGAAATTATGAAGGGGGTGCTATGTAGTTATTTCTTAAAGGACCTCAATTTTGACATTGAACCCATTTTTGTTTGTCTTGAGGTCAAACATAAGTGACATCAATTCCAAAGGTTTTGGTCAAACACAGGAGTGGGGCTTACTTTTTTTTTTTTTTAAATTTGAAGCTGGCACTCTGGAGCTATTTGAAGTTGATTCTCCATTTTGATGCTGGAGCCCTGTATGTTCAACTTTCGGTTTGTCATAATTGTTCTTTATTTCAAAAGTTTGGTTCGTACACAGAAAAAGGGCTTTTATTTTTCAATTGGGTAGGGGGCAATATGTGACCATTGATGGTTGGTTCTCCATCTTGACATTTTCTTCATCACAGGGTGATGAGACTCATTTGTAATAATGGAAAAACAGCACCATCTAGTGGTGTGCTTCAGTGACTTCCCCACATAAAAATGTAGAAAATATTACAGAGCTGAAGCTAAAATACTTGGATGAAGGTAAAAATAAAAAAGAATTGCTAAAATTGTATGTCTTCTGTGCATTACAAGGAAAAATGATCAGTCGAGGTGCTTCGGATAGACAAATGCCTAAAAATGTATGTATTACAACCTCCCCGTGGAATGTGGAAGTACTCAAAAGAAGTTTACAGTCAGAATGTAACCATAGTAATTTTTGATTATGGTATGACAGCACCATCTAGTGGGGTGTACTTTTCACCTTTCTACCATTAATACTTTTTGCAATATTTCACTTTTTCCTGTACAATTAGAAGTGATCATGAGAGTGCCAGTTGTTTTTTGTTAATCTGATCCTACAAAAAAAAACTTAAAAGGTTTCATAGTCAATGATATTACGAATCCTTTACATATTCAGGACTATAAAACCCTGCAAGAGATATCCAGTTTCAGGTTATGTTTTCTAATAAAAATCAGTCTCTCTTCTTAAGATGGTCTTATTTTCATGATACCACTTATAACAATAGGTCAATGAACTGACAGGTCATCATAACAACAGGTCACCATAACATTCAACACCATCCAACCAATCATACTCAAAGACAAGCCCACAGAGATGGGCGTGGATCCTACCTGTGTTTCCTGGATCACAAATTGCCTGACAGGAATCACACAGTTCTTCACGCTGGGGAACTGTGTTTCTGGGCCTTATTGGGAAGTACAGGGGTTCCACAACGGACGGTCCTGGCTCCATTCCTATTGACAGGGTATACACCAGACTTCAAATACAGCACTGAGTCCTGAAATTTTTGTAGAGGGCGCTATGACCACATTTTTGTTGGAAATCCATTTTGACAGTGGAAAACTTTTTGTTTAACTTTGAGTCCAACGTAGGTGTCATTGAATCCCTCGGTTTAGGTCAAACACAGGAGCTGAACTTACATTTTGAAATTTTGTAGAGGGAGAAATGAAGGAATTTTTTGATGGGTCCCCAATTTTTACATTGGAACCCATTTCTTCTCCTCTTGGGGTTCAAGATAAGTGTCATTGAATCCACTTGTCTGGACCACAGGAGCGGGTTTACGTTTTGAAATTTTGAAGGGGGCGCTATGGGGCCTTTTTATGATGGATATCCATTATGACAGTTAAACCCTTTTTGTTCGTCTTGAGGTCAAACATAAGTGACATCAATTTCATAGGTTTAGGTCAAACACGGGAGCGTGGTTCACATTGAAGAAATTTGAAGGTGGCGCCATAGAGCCATGTTTTGATGGATCTCCATTTTGATATTCAAACTGCTTTTGTTCGTGTTAAGGTTCAAATTCAGTGTCACTAATTCCACAGGTTTTGGACGCGCACCAGAGCAGGGCTTTCATTTAGAAATGTTGTAGAGAACGCAGTCGTGCCATTTTCAGTTGGATCCAAGATAAGTGTCTGTTAGTCCATTGGTCTGAGTCACTCAAAGAAGCAGGGGTTTCATTTTGAAAGTATGAAGGGGGTGCTATGTAGCTATTTCTTGAAGGACCTCAATTTTAACATTGAACCCATTTTTGTTTGTCTTGAGGTCAAACATAAGTGACATCAATTCCAAAGGTTTTGGTCAAACACAGGAGTGGGGCTTACTTTTTTTTTTTTTAAATTTGAAGGTGGCACTCTGGAGCTATTTGAAGTTGATTCTCCATTTTGATGCTGGAGCCCTGTATGTTCAACTTTCGGTTTGTCATAATTGTTCTTTATTTCAAAAGTTTGGTTCGTACACAGAAAAAGGGCTTTTATTTTTCAATTGGGCAGGGGGCAATATGTGACCATTGATGGTTGGTTCTCCATTTTGACATTTTCTTCATCACAGGGTGATGAGACTCATTTGTAATAATGGAAAAACAGCACCATCTAGTGGTGTGCTTCAGTGACTTCCCCACATAAAAATGTAGAAAATATTACAGAGCTGAAGCTAAAATACTTGGATGAAGGTAAAAATAAAAAAAATTGCTAAAATTGTATGTCCTATGTGCATTACAAGGAAAATGATCAGTCAAGGTGCTTCGGATAGACAAATGCCAAAAAATGTATGTATTACAACCTCCCCGTGAAATGTGGAAGTACTCAAAAGAAGTTTACAGTCAGAATGTAACCATAGTAATTTTTGATTATGGTATGACAGCACCATCTAGTGGGGTGTACTTTTCACCTTTCTACCATTAATACTTTTTGCAATATTTCACTTTTTCCTGTACAATTAGAAGTGATCATGAGAGTGCCAGTTGTTTTTTGTTAATCTGATCCTATAAAAAAAACTTAAAAGGTTTCATAGTCAATGATATTACGAATCCTTTACATATTCAGGACTATAAAACCCTGCAAGAGATATCCAGTTTCAGGTTATGTTTTCTAATAAAAATCAGTCTCTCTTCTTAAGATGGTCTTATTTTCATGATACCACTTATAACAATAGGTCAATGAACTGACAGGTCATCATAACAACAGGTCACCATAACATTCAACACCATCCAACCAATCATACTCAAAGACAAGCCCACAGAGATGGGCGTGGATCCTACCTGTGTTTCCTGGATCACAAATTGCCTGACAGGAATCACACAGTTCTTCACGCTGGGGAACTGTGTTTCTGGGCCTTATTGAGAAGTACAGGGGTTCCACAACGGACGGTCCTGGCTCCATTCCTATTGACAGGGTATACACCAGACTTCAAATACAGCACTGAGTCCTGAAATTTTTGTAGAGGGCGCTATGACCACATTTTTGTTGGAAATCCATTTTGACAGTGGAAAACTTTTTGTTTAACTTTGAGTCCAACGTAGGTGTCATTGAATCCCTCGGTTTAGGTCAAACACAGGAGCTGAACTTACATTTTGAAATTTTGTAGAGGGAGAAATTAAGGAATTTTTTGATGGGTCCCCAATTTTTACATTGGCACCCATTTCTTTTCCTCTTGGGGTTCAAGATAAGTGTCATTGAATCCACTTGTCTGGACCACAGGAGCGGGTTTACGTTTTGAAATTTTGAAGGGGGCGCTATGGGGCCTTTTTATGATGGATATCCATTATGACAGTTAAACCCTTTTTGTTCGTCTTGAGGTCAAACATAAGTGTCATCAATTTCATAGGTTTAGGTCAAACACGGGAGCGTGGTTCACATTGAAGAAATTTGAAGGTGGCGCCATAGAGCCATGTTTTGATGGATCTCCATTTTGATATTCAAACTGCTTTTGTTCGTGTTAAGGTTCAAATTCAGTGTCACTAATTCCACAGGTTTTGGACGCGCACCAGAGCAGGGCTTTCATTTAGAAATGTTGTAGAGAACGCAGTCGTGCCATTTTCAGTTGGATCCAAGATAAGTGTCTGTTAGTCCATTTGTCTGAGTCACTCAAAGAAGCAGGGGTTTCATTTTGAAATTATGAAGGGGGTGCTATGTAGTTATTTCTTAAAGGACCTCAATTTTGACATTGAACCCATTTTTGTTTGTCTTGAGGTCAAACATAAGTGACATCAATTCCAAAGGTTTTGGTCAAACACAGGAGTGGGGCTTACTTTTTTTTTTTTTAAATTTGAAGCTGGCACTCTGGAGCTATTTGAAGTTGATTCTCCATTTTGATGCTGGAGCCCTGTATGTTCAACTTTCGGTTTGTCATAATTGTTCTTTATTTCAAAAGTTTGGTTCGTACACAGAAAAAGGGCTTTTATTTTTCAATTGGGTAGGGGGCAATATGTGACCATTGATGGTTGGTTCTCCATCTTGACATTTTCTTCATCACAGGGTGATGAGACTCATTTGTAATAATGGAAAAACAGCACCATCTAGTGGTGTGCTTCAGTGACTTCCCCACATAAAAATTTAGAAAATATTACAGAGCTGAAGCTAAAATACTTGGATGAAGGTAAAAATAAAAAAGAATTGCTAAAATTGTATGTCTTCTGTGCATTACAAGGAAAAATGATCAGTCGAGGTGCTTCGGATAGACAAATGCCTAAAAATGTATGTATTACAACCTCCCCGTGGAATGTGGAAGTACTCAAAAGAAGTTTACAGTCAGAATGTAACCATAGTAATTTTTGATTATGGTATGACAGCACCATCTAGTGGGGTGTACTTTTCACCTTTCTACCATTAATACTTTTTGCAATATTTCACTTTTTCCTGTACAATTAGAAGTGATCATGAGAGTGCCAGTTGTTTTTTGTTAATCTGATCCTACAAAAAAAACTTAAAAGGTTTCATAGTCAATGATATTACGAATCCTTTACATATTCAGGACTATAAAACCCTGCAAGAGATATCCAGTTTCAGGTTATGTTTTCTAATAAAAATCAGTCTCTCTTCTTAAGATGGTCTTATTTTCATGATACCACTTATAACAATAGGTCAATGAACTGACAGGTCATCATAACAACAGGTCACCATAACATTCAACACCATCCAACCAATCATACTCAAAGACAAGCCCACAGAGATGGGCGTGGATCCTACCTGTGTTTCCTGGATCACAAATTGCCTGACAGGAATCACACAGTTCTTCACGCTGGGGAACTGTGTTTCTGGGCCTTATTGGGAAGTACAGGGGTTCCACAACGGACGGTCCTGGCTCCATTCCTATTGACAGGGTATACACCAGACTTCAAATACAGCACTGAGTCCTGAAATTTTTGTAGAGGGCGCTATGACCACATTTTTGTTGGAAATCCATTTTGACAGTGGAAAACTTTTTGTTTAACTTTGAGTCCAACGTAGGTGTCATTGAATCCCTCGGTTTAGGTCAAACACAGGAGCTGAACTTACATTTTGAAATTTTGTAGAGGGAGAAATGAAGGAATTTTTTGATGGGTCCCCAATTTTTACATTGGAACCCATTTCTTTTCCTCTTGGGGTTCAAGATAAGTGTCATTGAATCCACTTGTCTGGACCACAGGAGCGGGTTTACGTTTTGAAATTTTGAAGGGGGCGCTATGGGGCCTTTTTATGATGGATATCCATTATGACAGTTAAACCCTTTTTGTTCGTCTTGAGGTCAAACATAAGTGACATCAATTTCATAGGTTTAGGTCAAACACGGGAGCGTGGTTCACATTGAAGAAATTTGAAGGTGGCGCCATAGAGCCATGTTTTGATGGATCTCCATTTTGATATTCAAACTGCTTTTGTTCGTGTTAAGGTTCAAATTCAGTGTCACTAATTCCACAGGTTTTGGACGCGCACCAGAGCAGGGCTTTCATTTAGAAATGTTGTAGAGAACGCAGTCGTGCCATTTTCAGTTGGATCCAAGATAAGTGTCTGTTAGTCCATTGGTCTGAGTCACTCAAAGAAGCAGGGGTTTCATTTTGAAAGTATGAAGGGGGTGCTATGTAGCTATTTCTTGAAGGACCTCAATTTTAACATTGAACCCATTTTTGTTTGTCTTGAGGTCAAACATAAGTGACATCAATTCCAAAGGTTTTGGTCAAACACAGGAGTGGGGCTTACTTTTTTTTTTTTTTAAATTTGAAGGTGGCACTCTGGAGCTATTTGAAGTTGATTCTCCATTTTGATGCTGGAGCCCTGTATGTTCAACTTTCGGTTTGTCATAATTGTTCTTTATTTCAAAAGTTTGGTTCGTACACAGAAAAAGGGCTTTTATTTTTCAATTGGGCAGGGGGCAATATGTGACCATTGATGGTTGGTTCTCCATTTTGACATTTTCTTCATCACAGGGTGATGAGACTCATTTGTAATAATGGAAAAACAGCACCATCTAGTGGTGTGCTTCAGTGACTTCCCCACATAAAAATGTAGAAAATATTACAGAGCTGAAGCTAAAATACTTGGATGAAGGTAAAAATAAAAAAAATTGCTAAAATTGTATGTCCTATGTGCATTACAAGGAAAATGATCAGTCAAGGTGCTTCGGATAGACAAATGCCAAAAAATGTATGTATTACAACCTCCCCGTGAAATGTGGAAGTACTCAAAAGAAGTTTACAGTCAGAATGTAACCATAGTAATTTTTGATTATGGTATGACAGCACCATCTAGTGGGGTGTACTTTTCACCTTTCTACCATTAATACTTTTTGCAATATTTCACTTTTTCCTGTACAATTAGAAGTGATCATGAGAGTGCCAGTTGTTTTTTGTTAATCTGATCCTATAAAAAAAACTTAAAAGGTTTCATAGTCAATGATATTACGAATCCTTTACATATTCAGGACTATAAAACCCTGCAAGAGATATCCAGTTTCAGGTTATGTTTTCTAATAAAAATCAGTCTCTCTTCTTAAGATGGTCTTATTTTCATGATACCACTTATAACAATAGGTCAATGAACTGACAGGTCATCATAACAACAGGTCACCATAACATTCAACACCATCCAACCAATCATACTCAAAGACAAGCCCACAGAGATGGGCGTGGATCCTACCTGTGTTTCCTGGATCACAAATTGCCTGACAGGAATCACACAGTTCTTCACGCTGGGGAACTGTGTTTCTGGGCCTTATTGAGAAGTACAGGGGTTCCACAACGGACGGTCCTGGCTCCATTCCTATTGACAGGGTATACACCAGACTTCAAATACAGCACTGAGTCCTGAAATTTTTGTAGAGGGCGCTATGACCACATTTTTGTTGGAAATCCATTTTGACAGTGGAAAACTTTTTGTTTAACTTTGAGTCCAACGTAGGTGTCATTGAATCCCTCGGTTTAGGTCAAACACAGGAGCTGAACTTACATTTTGAAATTTTGTAGAGGGAGAAATTAAGGAATTTTTTGATGGGTCCCCAATTTTTACATTGGCACCCATTTCTTTTCCTCTTGGGGTTCAAGATAAGTGTCATTGAATCCACTTGTCTGGACCACAGGAGCGGGTTTACGTTTTGAAATTTTGAAGGGGGCGCTATGGGGCCTTTTTATGATGGATATCCATTATGACAGTTAAACCCTTTTTGTTCGTCTTGAGGTCAAACATAAGTGTCATCAATTTCATAGGTTTAGGTCAAACACGGGAGCGTGGTTCACATTGAAGAAATTTGAAGGTGGCGCCATAGAGCCATGTTTTGATGGATCTCCATTTTGATATTCAAACTGCTTTTGTTCGTGTTAAGGTTCAAATTCAGTGTCACTAATTCCACAGGTTTTGGACGCGCACCAGAGCAGGGCTTTCATTTAGAAATGTTGTAGAGAACGCAGTCGTGCCATTTTCAGTTGGATCCAAGATAAGTGTCTGTTAGTCCATTGGTCTGAGTCACTCAAAGAAGCAGGGGTTTCATTTTGAAAGTATGAAGGGGGTGCTATGTAGCTATTTCTTGAAGGACCTCAATTTTAACATTGAACCCATTTTTGTTTGTCTTGAGGTCAAACATAAGTGACATCAATTCCAAAGGTTTTGGTCAAACACAGGAGTGGGGCTTACTTTTTTTTTTTTTAAATTTGAAGGTGGCACTCTGGAGCTATTTGAAGTTGATTCTCCATTTTGATGCTGGAGCCCTGTATGTTCAACTTTCGGTTTGTCATAATTGTTCTTTATTTCAAAAGTTTGGTTCGTACACAGAAAAAGGGCTTTTATTTTTCAATTGGGCAGGGGGCAATATGTGACCATTGATGGTTGGTTCTCCATTTTGACATTTTCTTCATCACAGGGTGATGAGACTCATTTGTAATAATGGAAAAACAGCACCATCTAGTGGTGTGCTTCAGTGACTTCCCCACATAAAAATGTAGAAAATATTACAGAGCTGAAGCTAAAATACTTGGATGAAGGTAAAAATAAAAAAAATTGCTAAAATTGTATGTCCTATGTGCATTACAAGGAAAATGATCAGTCAAGGTGCTTCGGATAGACAAATGCCAAAAAATGTATGTATTACAACCTCCCCGTGAAATGTGGAAGTACTCAAAAGAAGTTTACAGTCAGAATGTAACCATAGTAATTTTTGATTATGGTATGACAGCACCATCTAGTGGGGTGTACTTTTCACCTTTCTACCATTAATACTTTTTGCAATATTTCACTTTTTCCTGTACAATTAGAAGTGATCATGAGAGTGCCAGTTGTTTTTTGTTAATCTGATCCTACAAAAAAAACTTAAAAGGTTTCATAGTCAATGATATTACGAATCCTTTACATATTCAGGACTATAAAACCCTGCAAGAGATATCCAGTTTCAGGTTATGTTTTCTAATAAAAATCAGTCTCTCTTCTTAAGATGGTCTTATTTTCATGATACCACTTATAACAATAGGTCAATGAACTGACAGGTCATCATAACAACAGGTCACCATAACATTCAACACCATCCAACCGATCATACTCAAAGACAAGCCCACAGAGATGGGCGTGGATCCTACCTGTGTTTCCTGGATCACAAATTGCCTGACAGGAATCACACAGTTCTTCACGCTGGGGAACTGTGTTTCTGGGCCTTATTGGGAAGTACAGGGGTTCCACAACGGACGGTCCTGGCTCCATTCCTATTGACAGGGTATACACCAGACTTCAAATACAGCACTGAGTCCTGAAATTTTTGTAGAGGGCGCTATGACCACATTTTTGTTGGAAATCCATTTTGACAGTGGAAAACTTTTTGTTTAACTTTGAGTCCAACGTAGGTGTCATTGAATCCCTCGGTTTAGGTCAAACACAGGAGCTGAACTTACATTTTGAAATTTTGTAGAGGGAGAAATGAAGGAATTTTTTGATGGGTCCCCAATTTTTACATTGGCACCCATTTCTTTTCCTCTTGGGGTTCAAGATTAGTGTCATTGAATCCACTTGTCTGGACCACAGGAGCGGGTTTACGTTTTGAAATTTTGAAGGGGGCGCTATGGGGCCTTTTTATGATGGATATCCATTATGACAGTTAAACCCTTTTTGTTCGTCTTGAGGTCAAACATAAGTGTCATCAATTTCATAGGTTTAGGTCAAACACGGGAGCGTGGTTCACATTGAAGAAATTTGAAGGTGGCGCCATAGAGCCATGTTTTGATGGATCTCCATTTTGATATTCAAACTGCTTTTGTTCGTTTTAAGGTTCAAATTCAGTGTCACTAATTCCACAGGTTTTGGACGCGCACCAGAGCAGGGCTTTCATTTAGAAATGTTGTAGAGAACGCAGTCGTGCCATTTTCAGTTGGATCCAAGATAAGCGTCTGTTAGTCCATTGGTCTGAGTCACTCAAAGAAGCAGGGGTTTCATTTTGAAAGTATGAAGGGGGTGCTATGTAGCTATTTCTTGAAGGACCTCAATTTTAACATTGAACCCATTTTTGTTTGTCTTGAGGTCAAACATAAGTGACATCAATTCCAAAGGTTTTGGTCAAACACAGGAGTGGGGCTTACTTTTTTTTTTTTTTAAATTTGAAGGTGGCACTCTTGAGCTATTTGAAGTTGATTCTCCATTTTGATGCTGGAGCCCTGTATGTTCAACTTTCGGTTTGTCATAATTGTTCTTTATTTCAAAAGTTTGGTTCGTACACAGAAAAAGGGCTTTTATTTTTCAATTGGGCAGGGGGCAATATGTGACCATTGATGGTTGGTTCTCCATTTTGACATTTTCTTCATCACAGGGTGATGAGACTCATTTGTAATAATGGAAAAACAGCACCATCTAGTGGTGTGCTTCAGTGACTTCCCCACATAAAAATGTAGAAAATATTACAGAGCTGAAGCTAAAATACTTGGATGAAGGTAAAAATAAAAAAGAATTGCTAAAATTGTATGTCTTCTGTGAATTACAAGAAAAAATTAACAGTCGAGGTGCTTCGGATAGACAAATGCCTAAAAATGTATGTATTACAACCTCCCCGTGGAATGTGGAAGTACTCAAAAGAAGTTTACAGTCAGAATGTAACCATAGTAATTTTTGATTATGGTATGACAGCACCATCTAGTGGGGTGTACTTTTCACCTTTCTACCATTAATACTTTTTGCAATATTTCACTTTTTCCTGTACAATTAGAAGTGATCATGAGAGTGCCAGTTGTTTTTTGTTAATCTGATCCTATAAAAAAAACTTAAAAGGTTTCATAGTCAATGATATTACGAATCCTTTACATATTCAGGACTATAAAACCCTGCAAGAGATATCCAGTTTCAGGTTATGTTTTCTAATAAAAATCAGTCTCTCTTCTTAAGATGGTCTTATTTTCATGATACCACTTATAACAATAGGTCAATGAACTGACAGGTCATCATAACAACAGGTCACCATAACATTCAACACCATCCAACCAATCATACTCAAAGACAAGCCCACAGAGATGGGCGTGGATCCTACCTGTGTTTCCTGGATCACAAATTGCCTGACAGGAATCACACAGTTCTTCACGCTGGGGAACTGTGTTTCTGGGCCTTATTGAGAAGTACAGGGGTTCCACAACGGACGGTCCTGGCTCCATTCCTATTGACAGGGTATACACCAGACTTCAAATACAGCACTGAGTCCTGAAATTTTTGTAGAGGGCGCTATGACCACATTTTTGTTGGAAATCCATTTTGACAGTGGAAAACTTTTTGTTTAACTTTGAGTCCAACGTAGGTGTCATTGAATCCCTCGGTTTAGGTCAAACACAGGAGCTGAACTTACATTTTGAAATTTTGTAGAGGGAGAAATTAAGGAATTTTTTGATGGGTCCCCAATTTTTACATTGGCACCCATTTCTTTTCCTCTTGGGGTTCAAGATAAGTGTCATTGAATCCACTTGTCTGGACCACAGGAGCGGGTTTACGTTTTGAAATTTTGAAGGGGGCGCTATGGGGCCTTTTTATGATGGATATCCATTATGACAGTTAAACCCTTTTTGTTCGTCTTGAGGTCAAACATAAGTGTCATCAATTTCATAGGTTTAGGTCAAACACGGGAGCGTGGTTCACATTGAAGAAATTTGAAGGTGGCGCCATAGAGCCATGTTTTGATGGATCTCCATTTTGATATTCAAACTGCTTTTGTTCGTGTTAAGGTTCAAATTCAGTGTCACTAATTCCACAGGTTTTGGACGCGCACCAGAGCAGGGCTTTCATTTAGAAATGTTGTAGAGAACGCAGTCGTGCCATTTTCAGTTGGATCCAAGATAAGTGTCTGTTAGTCCATTGGTCTGAGTCACTCAAAGAAGCAGGGGTTTCATTTTGAAAGTATGAAGGGGGTGCTATGTAGCTATTTCTTGAAGGACCTCAATTTTAACATTGAACCCATTTTTGTTTGTCTTGAGGTCAAACATAAGTGACATCAATTCCAAAGGTTTTGGTCAAACACAGGAGTGGGGCTTACTTTTTTTTTTTTTAAATTTGAAGGTGGCACTCTGGAGCTATTTGAAGTTGATTCTCCATTTTGATGCTGGAGCCCTGTATGTTCAACTTTCGGTTTGTCATAATTGTTCTTTATTTCAAAAGTTTGGTTCGTACACAGAAAAAGGGCTTTTATTTTTCAATTGGGCAGGGGGCAATATGTGACCATTGATGGTTGGTTCTCCATTTTGACATTTTCTTCATCACAGGGTGATGAGACTCATTTGTAATAATGGAAAAACAGCACCATCTAGTGGTGTGCTTCAGTGACTTCCCCACATAAAAATGTAGAAAATATTACAGAGCTGAAGCTAAAATACTTGGATGAAGGTAAAAATAAAAAAAATTGCTAAAATTGTATGTCCTATGTGCATTACAAGGAAAATGATCAGTCAAGGTGCTTCGGATAGACAAATGCCAAAAAATGTATGTATTACAACCTCCCCGTGAAATGTGGAAGTACTCAAAAGAAGTTTACAGTCAGAATGTAACCATAGTAATTTTTGATTATGGTATGACAGCACCATCTAGTGGGGTGTACTTTTCACCTTTCTACCATTAATACTTTTTGCAATATTTCACTTTTTCCTGTACAATTAGAAGTGATCATGAGAGTGCCAGTTGTTTTTTGTTAATCTGATCCTATAAAAAAAACTTAAAAGGTTTCATAGTCAATGATATTACGAATCCTTTACATATTCAGGACTATAAAACCCTGCAAGAGATATCCAGTTTCAGGTTATGTTTTCTAATAAAAATCAGTCTCTCTTCTTAAGATGGTCTTATTTTCATGATACCACTTATAACAATAGGTCAATGAACTGACAGGTCATCATAACAACAGGTCACCATAACATTCAACACCATCCAACCAATCATACTCAAAGACAAGCCCACAGAGATGGGCGTGGATCCTACCTGTGTTTCCTGGATCACAAATTGCCTGACAGGAATCACACAGTTCTTCACGCTGGGGAACTGTGTTTCTGGGCCTTATTGAGAAGTACAGGGGTTCCACAACGGACGGTCCTGGCTCCATTCCTATTGACAGGGTATACACCAGACTTCAAATACAGCACTGAGTCCTGAAATTTTTGTAGAGGGCGCTATGACCACATTTTTGTTGGAAATCCATTTTGACAGTGGAAAACTTTTTGTTTAACTTTGAGTCCAACGTAGGTGTCATTGAATCCCTCGGTTTAGGTCAAACACAGGAGCTGAACTTACATTTTGAAATTTTGTAGAGGGAGAAATTAAGGAATTTTTTGATGGGTCCCCAATTTTTACATTGGCACCCATTTCTTTTCCTCTTGGGGTTCAAGATAAGTGTCATTGAATCCACTTGTCTGGACCACAGGAGCGGGTTTACGTTTTGAAATTTTGAAGGGGGCGCTATGGGGCCTTTTTATGATGGATATCCATTATGACAGTTAAACCCTTTTTGTTCGTCTTGAGGTCAAACATAAGTGTCATCAATTTCATAGGTTTAGGTCAAACACGGGAGCGTGGTTCACATTGAAGAAATTTGAAGGTGGCGCCATAGAGCCATGTTTTGATGGATCTCCATTTTGATATTCAAACTGCTTTTGTTCGTGTTAAGGTTCAAATTCAGTGTCACTAATTCCACAGGTTTTGGACGCGCACCAGAGCAGGGCTTTCATTTAGAAATGTTGTAGAGAACGCAGTCGTGCCATTTTCAGTTGGATCCAAGATAAGTGTCTGTTAGTCCATTGGTCTGAGTCACTCAAAGAAGCAGGGGTTTCATTTTGAAAGTATGAAGGGGGTGCTATGTAGCTATTTCTTGAAGGACCTCAATTTTAACATTGAACCCATTTTTGTTTGTCTTGAGGTCAAACATAAGTGACATCAATTCCAAAGGTTTTGGTCAAACACAGGAGTGGGGCTTACTTTTTTTTTTTTTAAATTTGAAGGTGGCACTCTGGAGCTATTTGAAGTTGATTCTCCATTTTGATGCTGGAGCCCTGTATGTTCAACTTTCGGTTTGTCATAATTGTTCTTTATTTCAAAAGTTTGGTTCGTACACAGAAAAAGGGCTTTTATTTTTCAATTGGGCAGGGGGCAATATGTGACCATTGATGGTTGGTTCTCCATTTTGACATTTTCTTCATCACAGGGTGATGAGACTCATTTGTAATAATGGAAAAACAGCACCATCTAGTGGTGTGCTTCAGTGACTTCCCCACATAAAAATGTAGAAAATATTACAGAGCTGAAGCTAAAATACTTGGATGAAGGTAAAAATAAAAAAAATTGCTAAAATTGTATGTCCTATGTGCATTACAAGGAAAATGATCAGTCAAGGTGCTTCGGATAGACAAATGCCAAAAAATGTATGTATTACAACCTCCCCGTGAAATGTGGAAGTACTCAAAAGAAGTTTACAGTCAGAATGTAACCATAGTAATTTTTGATTATGGTATGACAGCACCATCTAGTGGGGTGTACTTTTCACCTTTCTACCATTAATACTTTTTGCAATATTTCACTTTTTCCTGTACAATTAGAAGTGATCATGAGAGTGCCAGTTGTTTTTTGTTAATCTGATCCTACAAAAAAAACTTAAAAGGTTTCATAGTCAATGATATTACGAATCCTTTACATATTCAGGACTATAAAACCCTGCAAGAGATATCCAGTTTCAGGTTATGTTTTCTAATAAAAATCAGTCTCTCTTCTTAAGATGGTCTTATTTTTTTATGATACCACTTATAACAATAGGTCAATGAACTGACAGGTCATCATAACAACAGGTCACCATAACATTCAACACCATCCAACCGATCATACTCAAAGACAAGCCCACAGAGATGGGCGTGGATCCTACCTGTGTTTCCTGGATCACAAATTGCCTGACAGGAATCACACAGTTCTTCACGCTGGGGAACTGTGTTTCTGGGCCTTATTGGGAAGTACAGGGGTTCCACAACGGACGGTCCAGGCTCCATTCCTATTGACAGGGTATACACCAGACTTCAAATACAGCACTGAGTCCTGAAATTTTTGTAGAGGGCGCTATGACCACATTTTTGTTGGAAATCCATTTTGACAGTGGAAAACTTTTTGTTTAACTTTGAGTCCAACGTAGGTGTCATTGAATCCCTCGGTTTAGGTCAAACACAGGAGCTGAACTTACATTTTGAAATTTTGTAGAGGGAGAAATGAAGGAATTTTTTGATGGGTCCCCAATTTTTACATTGGCACCCATTTCTTTTCCTCTTGGGGTTCAAGATTAGTGTCATTGAATCCACTTGTCTGGACCACAGGAGCGGGTTTACGTTTTGAAATTTTGAAGGGGGCGCTATGGGGCCTTTTTATGATGGATATCCATTATGACAGTTAAACCCTTTTTGTTCGTCTTGAGGTCAAACATAAGTGTCATCAATTTCATAGGTTTAGGTCAAACACGGGAGCGTGGTTCACATTGAAGAAATTTGAAGGTGGCGCCATAGAGCCATGTTTTGATGGATCTCCATTTTGATATTCAAACTGCTTTTGTTCGTTTTAAGGTTCAAATTCAGTGTCACTAATTCCACAGGTTTTGGACGCGCACCAGAGCAGGGCTTTCATTTAGAAATGTTGTAGAGAACGCAGTCGTGCCATTTTCAGTTGGATCCAAGATAAGCGTCTGTTAGTCCATTGGTCTGAGTCACTCAAAGAAGCAGGGGTTTCATTTTGAAAGTATGAAGGGGGTGCTATGTAGCTATTTCTTGAAGGACCTCAATTTTAACATTGAACCCATTTTTGTTTGTCTTGAGGTCAAACATAAGTGACATCAATTCCAAAGGTTTTGGTCAAACACAGGAGTGGGGCTTACTTTTTTTTTTTTTAAATTTGAAGGTGGCACTCTTGAGCTATTTGAAGTTGATTCTCCATTTTGATGCTGGAGCCCTGTATGTTCAACTTTCGGTTTGTCATAATTGTTCTTTATTTCAAAAGTTTGGTTCGTACACAGAAAAAGGGCTTTTATTTTTCAATTGGGCAGGGGGCAATATGTGACCATTGATGGTTGGTTCTCCATTTTGACATTTTCTTCATCACAGGGTGATGAGACTCATTTGTAATAATGGAAAAACAGCACCATCTAGTGGTGTGCTTCAGTGACTTCCCCACATAAAAATGTAGAAAATATTACAGAGCTGAAGCTAAAATACTTGGATGAAGGTAAAAATAAAAAAGAATTGCTAAAATTGTATGTCTTCTGTGAATTACAAGAAAAAATTAACAGTCGAGGTGCTTCGGATAGACAAATGCCTAAAAATGTATGTATTACAACCTCCCCGTGGAATGTGGAAGTACTCAAAAGAAGTTTACAGTCAGAATGTAACCATAGTAATTTTTGATTATGGTATGACAGCACCATCTAGTGGGGTGTACTTTTCACCTTTCTACCATTAATACTTTTTGCAATATTTCACTTTTTCCTGTACAATTAGAAGTGATCATGAGAGTGCCAGTTGTTTTTTGTTAATCTGATCCTATAAAAAAAACTTAAAAGGTTTCATAGTCAATGATATTACGAATCCTTTACATATTCAGGACTATAAAACCCTGCAAGAGATATCCAGTTTCAGGTTATGTTTTCTAATAAAAATCAGTCTCTCTTCTTAAGATGGTCTTATTTTCATGATACCACTTATAACAATAGGTCAATGAACTGACAGGTCATCATAACAACAGGTCACCATAACATTCAACACCATCCAACCAATCATACTCAAAGACAAGCCCACAGAGATGGGCGTGGATCCTACCTGTGTTTCCTGGATCACAAATTGCCTGACAGGAATCACACAGTTCTTCACGCTGGGGAACTGTGTTTCTGGGCCTTATTGAGAAGTACAGGGGTTCCACAACGGACGGTCCTGGCTCCATTCCTATTGACAGGGTATACACCAGACTTCAAATACAGCACTGAGTCCTGAAATTTTTGTAGAGGGCGCTATGACCACATTTTTGTTGGAAATCCATTTTGACAGTGGAAAACTTTTTGTTTAACTTTGAGTCCAACGTAGGTGTCATTGAATCCCTCGGTTTAGGTCAAACACAGGAGCTGAACTTACATTTTGAAATTTTGTAGAGGGAGAAATTAAGGAATTTTTTGATGGGTCCCCAATTTTTACATTGGCACCCATTTCTTTTCCTCTTGGGGTTCAAGATAAGTGTCATTGAATCCACTTGTCTGGACCACAGGAGCGGGTTTACGTTTTGAAATTTTGAAGGGGGCGCTATGGGGCCTTTTTATGATGGATATCCATTATGACAGTTAAACCCTTTTTGTTCGTCTTGAGGTCAAACATAAGTGTCATCAATTTCATAGGTTTAGGTCAAACACGGGAGCGTGGTTCACATTGAAGAAATTTGAAGGTGGCGCCATAGAGCCATGTTTTGATGGATCTCCATTTTGATATTCAAACTGCTTTTGTTCGTGTTAAGGTTCAAATTCAGTGTCACTAATTCCACAGGTTTTGGACGCGCACCAGAGCAGGGCTTTCATTTAGAAATGTTGTAGAGAACGCAGTCGTGCCATTTTCAGTTGGATCCAAGATAAGTGTCTGTTAGTCCATTGGTCTGAGTCACTCAAAGAAGCAGGGGTTTCATTTTGAAAGTATGAAGGGGGTGCTATGTAGCTATTTCTTGAAGGACCTCAATTTTAACATTGAACCCATTTTTGTTTGTCTTGAGGTCAAACATAAGTGACATCAATTCCAAAGGTTTTGGTCAAACACAGGAGTGGGGCTTACTTTTTTTTTTTTTAAATTTGAAGGTGGCACTCTGGAGCTATTTGAAGTTGATTCTCCATTTTGATGCTGGAGCCCTGTATGTTCAACTTTCGGTTTGTCATAATTGTTCTTTATTTCAAAAGTTTGGTTCGTACACAGAAAAAGGGCTTTTATTTTTCAATTGGGCAGGGGGCAATATGTGACCATTGATGGTTGGTTCTCCATTTTGACATTTTCTTCATCACAGGGTGATGAGACTCATTTGTAATAATGGAAAAACAGCACCATCTAGTGGTGTGCTTCAGTGACTTCCCCACATAAAAATGTAGAAAATATTACAGAGCTGAAGCTAAAATACTTGGATGAAGGTAAAAATAAAAAAAATTGCTAAAATTGTATGTCCTATGTGCATTACAAGGAAAATGATCAGTCAAGGTGCTTCGGATAGACAAATGCCAAAAAATGTATGTATTACAACCTCCCCGTGAAATGTGGAAGTACTCAAAAGAAGTTTACAGTCAGAATGTAACCATAGTAATTTTTGATTATGGTATGACAGCACCATCTAGTGGGGTGTACTTTTCACCTTTCTACCATTAATACTTTTTGCAATATTTCACTTTTTCCTGTACAATTAGAAGTGATCATGAGAGTGCCAGTTGTTTTTTGTTAATCTGATCCTACAAAAAAACTTAAAAGGTTTCATAGTCAATGATATTACGAATCCTTTACATATTCAGGACTATAAAACCCTGCAAGAGATATCCAGTTTCAGGTTATGTTTTCTAATAAAAATCAGTCTCTCTTCTTAAGATGGTCTTATTTTCATGATACCACTTATAACAATAGGTCAATGAACTGACAGGTCATCATAACAACAGGTCACCATAACATTCAACACCATCCAACCGATCATACTCAAAGACAAGCCCACAGAGATGGGCGTGGATCCTACCTGTGTTTCCTGGATCACAAATTGCCTGACAGGAATCACACAGTTCTTCACGCTGGGGAACTGTGTTTCTGGGCCTTATTGGGAAGTACAGGGGTTCCACAACGGACGGTCCTGGCTCCATTCCTATTGACAGGGTATACACCAGACTTCAAATACAGCACTGAGTCCTGAAATTTTTGTAGAGGGCGCTATGACCACATTTTTGTTGGAAATCCATTTTGACAGTGGAAAACTTTTTGTTTAACTTTGAGTCCAACGTAGGTGTCATTGAATCCCTCGGTTTAGGTCAAACACAGGAGCTGAACTTACATTTTGAAATTTTGTAGAGGGAGAAATGAAGGAATTTTTTGATGGGTCCCCAATTTTTACATTGGCACCCATTTCTTTTCCTCTTGGGGTTCAAGATTAGTGTCATTGAATCCACTTGTCTGGACCACAGGAGCGGGTTTACGTTTTGAAATTTTGAAGGGGGCGCTATGGGGCCTTTTTATGATGGATATCCATTATGACAGTTAAACCCTTTTTGTTCGTCTTGAGGTCAAACATAAGTGTCATCAATTTCATAGGTTTAGGTCAAACACGGGAGCGTGGTTCACATTGAAGAAATTTGAAGGTGGCGCCATAGAGCCATGTTTTGATGGATCTCCATTTTGATATTCAAACTGCTTTTGTTCGTTTTAAGGTTCAAATTTAGTGTCACTAATTCCACAGGTTTTGGACGCGCACCAGAGCAGGGCTTTCATTTAGAAATGTTGTAGAGAACGCAGTCGTGCCATTTTCAGTTGGATCCAAGATAAGTGTCTGTTAGTCCATTGGTCTGAGTCACTCAAAGAAGCAGGGGTTTCATTTTGAAATTATGAAGGGGGTGCTATGTAGCTATTTCTTGAAGGACCTCAATTTTAACATTGAACCCATTTTTGTTTGTCTTGAGGTCAAACATAAGTGACATCAATTCCAAAGGTTTTGGTCAAACACAGGAGTGGGGCTTACTTTTTTTTTTTTTAAATTTGAAGGTGGCACTCTTGAGCTATTTGAAGTTGATTCTCCATTTTGATGCTGGAGCCCTGTATGTTCAACTTTCGGTTTGTCATAATTGTTCTTTATTTCAAAAGTTTGGTTCGTACACAGAAAAAGGGCTTTTATTTTTCAATTGGGCAGGGGGCAATATGTGACCATTGATGGTTGGTTCTCCATTTTGACATTTTCTTCATCACAGGGTGATGAGACTCATTTGTAATAATGGAAAAACAGCACCATCTAGTGGTGTGCTTCAGTGACTTCCCCACATAAAAATGTAGAAAATATTACAGAGCTGAAGCTAAAATACTTGGATGAAGGTAAAAATAAAAAAGAATTGCTAAAATTGTATGTCTTCTGTGAATTACAAGAAAAAATTAACAGTCGAGGTGCTTCGGATAGACAAATGCCTAAAAATGTATGTATTACAACCTCCCCGTGGAATGTGGAAGTACTCAAAAGAAGTTTACAGTCAGAATGTAACCATAGTAATTTTTGATTATGGTATGACAGCACCATCTAGTGGGGTGTACTTTTCACCTTTCTACCATTAATACTTTTTGCAATATTTCACTTTTTCCTGTACAATTAGAAGTGATCATGAGAGTGCCAGTTGTTTTTTGTTAATCTGATCCTATAAAAAAAACTTAAAAGGTTTCATAGTCAATGATATTACGAATCCTTTACATATTCAGGACTATAAAACCCTGCAAGAGATATCCAGTTTCAGGTTATGTTTTCTAATAAAAATCAGTCTCTCTTCTTAAGATGGTCTTATTTTCATGATACCACTTATAACAATAGGTCAATGAACTGACAGGTCATCATAACAACAGGTCACCATAACATTCAACACCATCCAACCAATCATACTCAAAGACAAGCCCACAGAGATGGGCGTGGATCCTACCTGTGTTTCCTGGATCACAAATTGCCTGACAGGAATCACACAGTTCTTCACGCTGGGGAACTGTGTTTCTGGGCCTTATTGAGAAGTACAGGGGTTCCACAACGGACGGTCCTGGCTCCATTCCTATTGACAGGGTATACACCAGACTTCAAATACAGCACTGAGTCCTGAAATTTTTGTAGAGGGCGCTATGACCACATTTTTGTTGGAAATCCATTTTGACAGTGGAAAACTTTTTGTTTAACTTTGAGTCCAACGTAGGTGTCATTGAATCCCTCGGTTTAGGTCAAACACAGGAGCTGAACTTACATTTTGAAATTTTGTAGAGGGAGAAATGAAGGAATTTTTTGATGGGTCCCCAATTTTTACATTGGCACCCATTTCTTTTCCTCTTGGGGTTCAAGATAAGTGTCATTGAATCCACTTGTCTGGACCACAGGAGCGGGTTTACGTTTTGAAATTTTGAAGGGGGCGCTATGGGGCCTTTTTATGATGGATATCCATTATGACAGTTAAACCCTTTTTGTTCGTCTTGAGGTCAAACATAAGTGTCATCAATTTCATAGGTTTAGGTCAAACACGGGAGCGTGGTTCACATTGAAGAAATTTGAAGGTGGCGCCATAGAGCCATGTTTTGATGGATCTCCATTTTGATATTCAAACTGCTTTTGTTCGTGTTAAGGTTCAAATTCAGTGTCACTAATTCCACAGGTTTTGGACGCGCACCAGAGCAGGGCTTTCATTTAGAAATGTTGTAGAGAACGCAGTCGTGCCATTTTCAGTTGGATCCAAGATAAGTGTCTGTTAGTCCATTGGTCTGAGTCACTCAAAGAAGCAGGGGTTTCATTTTGAAAGTATGAAGGGGGTGCTATGTAGCTATTTCTTGAAGGACCTCAATTTTAACATTGAACCCATTTTTGTTTGTCTTGAGGTCAAACATAAGTGACATCAATTCCAAAGGTTTTGGTCAAACACAGGAGTGGGGCTTACTTTTTTTTTTTTTAAATTTGAAGGTGGCACTCTGGAGCTATTTGAAGTTGATTCTCCATTTTGATGCTGGAGCCCTGTATGTTCAACTTTCGGTTTGTCATAATTGTTCTTTATTTCAAAAGTTTGGTTCGTACACAGAAAAAGGGCTTTTATTTTTCAATTGGGCAGGGGGCAATATGTGACCATTGATGGTTGGTTCTCCATTTTGACATTTTCTTCATCACAGGGTGATGAGACTCATTTGTAATAATGGAAAAACAGCACCATCTAGTGGTGTGCTTCAGTGACTTCCCCACATAAAAATGTAGAAAATATTACAGAGCTGAAGCTAAAATACTTGGATGAAGGTAAAAATAAAAAAAAATTGCTAAAATTGTATGTCCTATGTGCATTACAAGGAAAATGATCAGTCAAGGTGCTTCGGATAGACAAATGCCAAAAAATGTATGTATTACAACCTCCCCGTGAAATGTGGAAGTACTCAAAAGAAGTTTACAGTCAGAATGTAACCATAGTAATTTTTGATTATGGTATGACAGCACCATCTAGTGGGGTGTACTTTTCACCTTTCTACCATTAATACTTTTTGCAATATTTCACTTTTTCCTGTACAATTAGAAGTGATCATGAGAGTGCCAGTTGTTTTTTGTTAATCTGATCCTACAAAAAAAACTTAAAAGGTTTCAAAGTCAATGATATTACGAATCCTTTACATATTCAAGACTATAAAACCCTGCAAGAGATATCCAGTTTCAGGTTATGTTTTCTAATAAAAATCAGTCTCTCTTCTTAAGATGGTCTTATTTTCATGATACCACTTATAACAATAGGTCAATGAACTGACAGGTCATCATAACAACAGGTCACCATAACATTCAACACCATCCAACCGATCATGCTCAAAGACAAGCCCACAGAGATGGGCGTGGATCCTACCTGTTTTCCTGGATCACAAATTGCCTGACAGGAATCACACAGTTCTTCACGCTGGGGAACTGTGTTTCTGGGCCTTATTGGGAAGTACAGGGGTTCCACAACGGACGGTCCTGGCTCCATTCCTATTGACAGGGTATACACCAGACTTCAAATACAGCACTGAGTCCTGAAATTTTTGTAGAGGGCGCTATGACCACATTTTTGTTGGAAATCCATTTTGACAGTGGAAAACTTTTTGTTTAACTTTGAGTCCAACGTAGGTGTCATTGAATCCCTCGGTTTAGGTCAAACACAGGAGCTGAACTTACATTTTGAAATTTTGTAGAGGGAGAAATGAAGGAATTTTTTGATGGGTCCCCAATTTTTACATTGGCACCCATTTCTTTTCCTCTTGGGGTTCAAGATTAGTGTCATTGAATCCACTTGTCTGGACCACAGGAGCGGGTTTACGTTTTGAAATTTTGAAGGGGGCGCTATGGGGCCTTTTTATGATGGATATCCATTATGACAGTTAAACCCTTTTTGTTCGTCTTGAGGTCAAACATAAGTGTCATCAATTTCATAGGTTTAGGTCAAACACAGGAGCGTGGTTCACACTGAAGAAATTTGAAGGTGGCGCCATAGAGCCATGTTTTGTTGTTAGGTTCAACTTCAGTGTCACTAATTCCACAGGTTTTGGACGCGCACCAGAGCAGGGCTTTCATTTAGAAATGTTGTAGAGAACGCAGTCGTGCCATTTTCAGTTGGATCCAAGATAAGTGTCTGTTAGTCCATTGGTCTGAGTCACTCAAAGAAGCAGGGGTTTCATTTTGAAATTATGAAGGGGGTGCTATGTAGCTATTTCTTGAAGGACCTCAATTTTGACATTGAACCCATTTTTGTTTGTCTTGAGGTCAAACATAAGTGACATCAATTCCAAAGGTTTTGGTCAAACACAGGAGTGGGGCTTACTTTTTTTTTTTTTAAATTTGAAGCTGGCACTCTGGAGCTATTTGAAGTTGATTCTCCATTTTGATGCTGGAGCCCTGTATGTTCAACTTTCGGTTTGTCATAATTGTTCTTTATTTCAAAAGTTTGGTTCGTACACAGAAAAAGGGCTTTTATTTTTCAATTGGGTAGGGGGCAATATGTGACCATTGATGGTTGGTTCTCCATTTTGACATTTTCTTCATCACAGGGTGATGAGACTCATTTGTAATAATGGAAAAACAGCACCATCTAGTGGTGTGCTTCAGTGACTTCCCCACATAAAAATGTAGAAAATATTA